TCCTTGGGGATGAGGAACAAGTGAAAAGGGCCTCCTGTGAACACAGGAAGGTTTGCATCAGCTGTGAGGTAAAACGAGGAAGCTAAAGGGCGCCTTGCCGATCAGCCTGCCCCCATCCCACCCCAGGCCTAAGGGATAAAGGCAGACGAAGCGGGGACACTCCAGAAGCAGGGGCTCCCTCAGACTCCCAGGCATTCCCAGGCCTCCCCAGGATTTCCGTGTCCCCCCAGACTGGCCCACAGTTCTGCGGAGGCTGAGGGAGCGCCCCACCTGGGAAGGGCATTAAGTGACTCCCTGGGCTCCGACCCAGGGCCCTGCTGGCTCCTTGGAGCGTCCCATCCACCCTGCTGAGCCGCCACAGAGCTTTGATCACTACTACACGAAGGGTTTCCTGAATGCTTTCCTGAGGACATTGTTCCCCACTACAGAGTCATCAGGGTCAAATTCATCATGGGCTCTACCAGGCCAGGTCCCACCCAGTGGGGAAAGCCTGCCCTCTGCCCAAGCCCCTCTTCCCCTGGGAAATTTAAGCCGGAGGTCTCTTCGGGTGTATCTTATTACCAGCCGTGGGGCAGGCGAAGACTCAGCAGAACACTACTGCCATGAGCTCAAGGCTGTGGGCAGCCCTGCTCCCTGTCTTCCAAAGGGGCTCTTCTCCACGCCCAGCCCCAGTACCTGCTCCAACCCCAAATCAAACTCGAGAACCTCTGCATTCACTCCACATTGATTTGAAAGGACTCTATGCCAGGCCCTCTGCAAGGGGCAGAGAGGTGACTAAGATGAGGCCCCTGCCCTGGAGGAACTCGCAGTCTTGGGCGGGGGCGGGGGAGACAGACACACACCTGTTACAGTGCCTTGTCATAAATGCCACAGTAGCATGACCCCAGGGCTGGAGAAGCAGGAAGGGAAGAGTAGCCCCTGCTTCAGAAAGTGGGTACGGACACCTGACAAATCTTAGAGCATAACAGTAGGTTCACCAAAGAGCCAAGGAGGCACAACGTATGGTGCACATGGAGGCAATCAGGTTTGAACAAGCACAATGCATTCAGGAAGGAAGAGGTAAAGGCTGGCTTCTGTCCCGGGGATGGCGGGAGGGAGGCTGGGGCAAGAGGCTGAAAGGAGCCATGGAGGTCTTCAAGCAGTGACCTCATCAAAGATGTACTGGAGAAAGAAGATGCCAGCAGGAACAGGAAGTTTCCAGGGAGAGACTGAACGTTGAGGCAAGATAATGAGGCCCTGAAGCAGGGACAGGAGAGATGGGCCAGGCAGAGGAGGGTGGCCAAAGGCTGTTGAGGAAACCCCCAAAGGTACAGGGGAGTCACAGATAGCCTGAGAAACAGGACAGGGGGGATAGGCTCCGCACCAAACACCATGCTGGGTGTTTTCCAAACATCCCCTCGATCGTCCCAGCTCCGTGAGGGAGACAGAACTAACCCCACTCCAAAGAGGACGCTCAGAGAAGCAAAGGAACTTCTCCCAGTCACACACTAGACTACGGAGCTGTCTGCAGACCTATCGTACAATATGGGACGGCCATTCAAATACTCTTCTTTTTTCTTAAAAGCTGATATACCAAAGACTGCTTTTTAGCAGATACTTGGAGAGACTGTGGACAGAAAAGGAAGTAAAGAGCATTTATTTTGATTTCATTACCCAGCCTGGCTACCACCCCGATGCGCAGTGAGGCGTCACTGGGCTAGAGCCTAGCACTCGCACATTTCTAAAACACTCTCGGAGCTGGTTTCCCCCTCTTTTTACACCATCAGCAGGGAACACACTCACATCCCCAGTTTGCAGGCAGAGAAGCCAAGGCCAGAAGTGAAAGTTCATGTCCCTGGTCACCCAGTTTCCTTGCCCCCAAATCCATGGCTCTTTCCTCTACCTGTGCTCCTGATCCATGACTCCTGGGCATTCTGCTCCCCACTTTCCGTCTCTGACCCCGCAGACAGCACCAGTGGGATGCCTACTAAGCAACACAGGTCTGGCCAGCTGGGTTCTTACGCAACATGGTCCTTTCTGTAAAGTTTTCCTAAGCACCCCTCCACTGCCAGGCCCATGAGGGTCCCCATCATCAATCTCCTAGCCAAGGCTGTTCCTGCCTCCAGATCCCCACTTCACCAGGATCACAAGGATACACGCCACTACTGCAGGAAGTGGAGGCTTTTCCTACAGTCAAATGAAAGTAGCTAACATTGACACCTACTTGTTGCCATGGACTCTGCTAAAAACCTCACATAAGTTACCTTATACTTGCTACAACCCAGCAGAAAATAGGTATTCATATGCCCATTTGACAGATGAGGACAGTGAGGCTCAGAAAGGCTAAGTGACTAGCCCAGGTCAGCTAGTCCTTGAGGCAGCATTCGTAACTCTGGTCTATCAGACTGCAGAGCACACTCTGTTTTCCTCTGCCGCACAGCCTGGCTTGCCACTGTGCCAGTGCACAGGCAGCCACACCAACATTGAAAAGGAAAAGGGAGGCAAGACAGGAGCTGTTCCATCTCTGCTGCCCAGCTCCCAGGCAGCTCCAGGGAGGCCCATGCCAGAGCGTTTCACCCAGCCACCAGCCCCAGCAGCCTGGAACCCTGGGAGGCCGACAAGAGTCAAAGGGCTCCCTGGCAGGCTTATCCTGGCGGCTGCCCAGCTGACTTGTGCTAACACAGCAACAGGCACAGGAAAGGCTCAAGAGAGTGGAAAAGCACCAGACACTGGGCGGCTGAGGGGGAGAGAAGTGAATCCTACCCAGCTCAGACAGGATAACCCCCTCTAAAGCCGCCACCATCACTGGGCCAGAAAAACACCCAAGGTGGGGGGGGCACCAAGCAAAAAGCACCCAGCGCCTCTACTCACTAATGTGTTTCAGTGAATTGTGACGGTTGGGCCAGCCCAACAATGGGACACATGCCTCCACGGTGAATCAGCAAGCATGGAAGAAAACCAGTACCCTGGGGCATCCCAGCAAGCTCAGCCTGCCTTTGCCCACATCCTCAGAAACCCTGCTACCCAAAGCCTCCCAAGCAGAGGCAAGAAATCACGTACCATGTCCAAGCCCCCCCAGCCACAACAGGTCCCAGGCGGCCGTGGGAAAGAGAGACCCAGCTGCGGATATTAATAGACTTGCCAGAGGAAGAGATTCAGTGAGGGCAAGCCCTAGGAAATGAAATTACTTAAAAGGGGGCATAAAGTGAGATGGCTGGAAGGGAACAACTTGGGTTTCCAAAGATGGGGCTCCCGTGGCCAGGCCCTGGGAGGAGACACAGCAGCCATGACAGGCTTCCTCTGAAATATCTACAAGTCCAGAAAAGTCTCAGGCTGTGGGAAAACTCTGCTGCTGCCGTTTCTGTAGGTTTTCTGTCCCCCAGTGTTCTGCTTAAACAGATATTAAACAACACACGTGCATGACACCCAGAAGTGTTTCAAGAGAAACCACTCCTGGGCCCTAATATTTGCCACAAGTTGTTAGATTATTGGGGGAAAAAAAAAAATTGGATACCTCTCAGACTTCACTGGAAGGACAGGCTAGTTTGGGAGGTCATAAAATCAGCAGCCCTTGGGTCAAATTAATGCCATGGGTATGTGAGCATGCTTAGAATTTAAAAAGAAAATAAAATGCCAACACTTAAAAATCAAATTTCAAAAAAAATGCACAAAAATCTAAATTTCCAGCATCTTTTAGGAAAAAAACTGAAAATTTTAGCATCATTGGGCAAACAGCATACATTGGAAAAGGCCGTATGGCCACCACCCTCTTTAGGCAGGCGTGTCCATCTAGTTCCCGGCCTGGCCTGCTCACTGAAGTCACCCGACTGACCCCTGTGGGCAGGTCGTTGTTACTCCTCCTGAAGCCCAGGGAAGCAATGCCAGGCTTCTTCATGCTCAGAAAGGCCACAGGGGGGCAGCACTGGGCTGTCACTGAGGCCCGCCCACCAGCCCGTGACTAACCAAGATGAGGTGGGCACATCCTTTCAGAACCAGAAATCTCATCCTTACCTCAGCGGGCGACGCTCGCCCCCTCCAGTCCCCACCAGATTTATTCCCTAAAAGCAACAGCAGCTCATTTCAGCCTGCCCACCAGCCTCAGGGACAGGGGAGGAGCCACTAGCGACTTACTCTCTCCTCTTCTCTGGCTACCACCTTCCACATCTTCCCAGCTCCTCCCACTCCACAGCTAGCATCTCTACGCATTCAGGCTTCCCACCTTCGCCTGCCTGTTAACACCATCAGGCCTCAGATCCTGAGATAAGAGAAGCAGGAGAGACACCCTCCCCCGTTTTTAAAGACTGTGCGTTCTTCATCATGCACTCCTTACTTCCTTCTCCTCACTTAGGTTAAATGTCAGTGGACTTCACGAGACAATAGGTCCTCGTGCCTCTTCCTGCCCTCTGCTCTCACTGCCCTTCCAACAGCTCCAGTAACATCTTAAGCAGCAGCATTTAGTATAAACCCCTGCATCCATGCAGGAAAGACATTTAGAACCTTGGAACTGCTCATTCCACTTCATCCAAAATGCCATTTACTGGTCCTGCCATTTACCCCCAAATGCAGAAGAAGCCTTATAAAAGACAGTCATTGTGATACTTACTTACACAAGTGAACAATCAAAAACAACCCAAGTGTCCAGCAACTGGGAAATTATTAAAAACAAACTATGCTTTATTCCCACTTCATGGCAATTATGCAGCTATTAAAAACAACTACGATTATGAAGACCATGTGATAAGACAGAAAAATGATTACAATATAAAACACTATGTAAAAAATATATAAAATTAAAGGGACAGCAATGATAAGAATCTTAAAATAACAGGGCATGCGGGTGGCTCAATTAGTTTAGCGTCTCCCTTCGGCTCAGGTCATGGACCCAGGGTCCTGGGATTGAGCCCCAAGTCAAGTTCCCTGCTCAGCAGGGAGTCCGCTTCTCTCTTCCTCTACCCCTCCCCTGTTTGTGCACTCTCTCATTTGCACTCTATCAAATAAATAAAAATCTTTTTTAAAAAATTAAAAAACTATGCCAAGAATTAGTGAAAGGTAACAAAATGCTACCTTTTTAGTTGTACTGGAGCCCTGGAGTAGGGACAACCATTTTTCCAATCTCTACCAAATGTTCTTTCATGTATATATATTACTTTTACAGGAGAAAATGTATGTCTGTGTATAGTTGAAAATTTTGAAAGCAACTGTTAAGCTCCCTGGTCTACACTGAATTCACATTTTTAAAGGTCCTATAAACCTCATCTCATCATGACAAAAAGGTTCCTGGAAACCTGTACCTCCAGGACTCAGTGCCTGCGCCCCAAAGCCCTTGGTTAAAGGTCAATGTTATCCAACCCTGAGATGCCTGCACTTGCGTAACTCCTAAGGAGACTCAACAGCATCTGGAAGATCGGATTAGATCAATATGGTTGTCAGGTGCAACTTTAATGAAGTTTTGTACCATACAGTGATGGGGGGGGTATCTGTTTTCCAGCAAATTCACCTGTCCCAAGGCAAACAGTCTGGGCTTCCAAGGACAGTAAAAGGCTTTTCTCCCCAGGGAGTCTCATTTCTGAGCTGACAGGACAGAATTTCAGGAAGAATGAGTACAAGAAGAGGGCAAACTAGTGAAGGGAGTCAGGTAGCTTTTTGAATTCTTCCCAGTGTACACTGGACCTAGGCATGTAGGCATCCCTCCTAAGGCAGCATGCCAACCCCAGCCACTCCCACTTGAGGCCAAAGTACCTCCCCAAAGAAAGAGCCAGCCATCATTCATTTCATGATACTCCTCCCCAAAGTGCGCCCAGAAGCACAGAAGCCTGAGCAGTTTCAGCCACCATACAACACATGCAGCCTTCAGGCCAGAACCCTCAAGGGCCCTCCTCTTCCCTGGCCCCTCAGCTGTTCGAGTGTCCGCCTGGCAACAGAAAAGCGGCCAATGTGTGCAGGGCTGGGTGGTATGGGAGGGGCAAGAATGAGCAACACAGCAAATCCCATGTGGGTTCTGGAGCAGGGTAGACATGGTGGCAGGGCCAGTCATGGCCCACACAAGGACCCATAGGGCTCTGTGTCCTTCGTTAATTCTTCTCTGGGCGGTTTCGGTTCAGGACAGCTTTAGGGGCAAATTCCAGCTTGTCCTTAAGGCTCACCACCTGGGTATGGTCCTTGCCTAGCAGTTCATCCAGCTTGCGGTCCTCCCGGCGCTCAGAGATGCTCTTCTCCTCCTCCACAGGCTGGGGATCCTTTCCCCGGATGAACCATTCCAGGTGGTAACCCACAGCCCCGACCACAAAGGCCACAGGAAATGTGACATAGGGAGCATAGGTACGCACCACGGTCCAAAGCACAGGCCACATGACATCTGCAGAAGAGCACAAGGCAGCATTAGGGAGAAACCAGCATCCCCCTTCCCACCGAATACAGACAACCCACCAGGGCTCTCCTTTCGCCAGGCATTCTGGCACAACTGACTGAGCATCTACCACACAGTCATGCAAGAGGGTACCTTGCTTGGGCAACAGTTAGGGCCCCAAAACAATCTAGAAAATTCTGAAAGACATGATTGTTAAGGAAGAGGGCAAGAATCTCTATTTTATGTACTGTACTCTTTGACCATTATGCAACCGTGTTTGACAGTGTTCCCCACAAGAGAACCTCTGAGCTTATCTAACAAAGATTCAAGCCTGTGACTGGCCCCAGGCCCTCCCTCCACACTTTACTGACATTTCAGGAATGGAAAAGAGCCTTCCTCTGCTCTAAGCAATTTCTCCATGAACAGAGCCAGCCACATTTTTCCCACTGTGTATAGTCCCACTGTGACTCTCCTGGCTCCCAGATAACGAGAAGTAGTTCCTTTACCTCACACAAAGATCAAGGAACATTATTTAAATGGCCAAAACCCTAATCCATTACTCAACCATTCTGGATTTTAGATAATTATTTTTTCCTATTCTGAACTTGATCTTTCTAAAAATGAGACATACCTATGCTTTGCAAAACTGCTGTCCAAACCCCTTTCAAAATACATTCCCTCCAACCAAACCCATACCCTCATATTTGCATAATAAACTCCTAAATATATCACCAACACATTATACATACTCTGAACATGATAGACCTTGAATTATTATGTTTTAAAACACACACACACACACACACACACACACACACATTGTAAAAGCCATGGCAGGGTGCGGGGGAGAGTGGAATGGCTCTGGAGCACCCTGAAATGAAGACAACACCAAAAAAAAATACAGAAACACACAACCTGGTTCACTCTAATGGCCATTTAGTCTCAAGACTATTACCATTAACAGTTATCAAAGATTATTCACGGGCCACCTGGGTGGCTCAGTTGGTTAATCCTCTGACTCTTGATTTCAGCTTAGGTCATGATCTCAAGGTTGTCGGATCGAGTCCGAGCCCAGCTCAGAGTAGAGTCTGCTTGTTCCTCTCCTTCTATTCCTCCCCCTACTTGCTCTCTCTTGCTCACTAATAAATAAAGTCTCTTAAAAAAAAAAAAAAAAGATTACTCACATTATCATAATAATGATAGCTACCATTTACTGAGCACCTATGTGCCAGTCCTTGGGCTAAGCATTTTAAATGTAGTATCTCCTTTTACCCTCATGTCCACTCTATGAGGTAGATGGTATTATCAGAGGGTTAAGTAACTTGACCCAAAGTCTCAAACAAAAGATCACTCCCTCCATTTGCACCTATGTAGGTGTTTCTCCAACTTGGCTATCTCTAAAGTGTACAATTGAAATCTCACCAAGAACAGAATGATGCTCTCTCTTTCTTTGGTTCCAATTCTCTTCGGAGAAATCCCAGCATTCTTTGGACCCAAGACTATCATGGACCATTATCAGGGAAAAGCTTGTAGCAGCTCCAATGTTCCCCCCTGGGTCCTTTGTCTCAGCACCAGGCCTATGCTGTACAAGTCACCCGCTGGTCATCACCTGATCTTAACAACACCTCTATGAGGTAGGAATTATTAGCCCAGGTTTGTGTCTAAGGCCACAAAGGTTCAGGGACATTATGTGAACTTGTCCAAGATCACTAGAAGTGACAGAACCACTGCTTCTGAATCCAGGCCTCTCCAAACTTCAATACTTGTGCTCTTTCTAGTGGCAAGAACACACTGCAGATAGGTGTACTGTTTCTGTCCAAATACTGGACTTGGGGAGTGCTTCCTACAATTTTTCTCCATCAACTTGGCATGTCACTATATGGAAGAGTCTCCCTTTTGGCAAACTCTAAGATTACTCAGAAATATGTGAGATTATAGGACTCAGACGATGTTAAAAGAAACACCCCTGAAGAACCTCAAACCTAATACTTCATTTTCTTTTCTACCTTTTATGCAAGCTATGCATAAGTAAATATGTACCCTAAACAGCAATCCTCCATTCAGATCCCCAATTTGTTGTAAAATAAACCAAACATGAGTCCATAATTCACAGCATCTCCCACATGCAGCAAAGGGCTCTCTCTGATGTCCCGCCCACATTCTAATCATTCCCAAATAAGTCAATGCATTCATTTATTCAACAGTTAGAACCACTTTCTCCTTGTCAGATGTTATGCTGGAGGCCTACCCCACCTGTCTGCATTTCTCAAAACACTGAAACTACAAAAGGGCAACGACCATGTCTCTACAGCCCTCACTGTGACCTATCCATCCCCCACCTGCCTGCCCTGCCTACCATAAAGTGCTCCCAGAAAAGTTTGTTAAGTGAATGAATGACAGCTCTAACAACGCACCAGTGTAAAACCTCAGCAGACGCCCAACCCTCGCCCTCACAAGGCGGCAGGAATACAGCAGGCTACTTTGCTGATGCAAGAAGCTAAACACTCCCTAACAAGTCATCCCCAGGGTATCAAAATGAAGGCGGCAAAAGCGTCCCACAAACTCTCGAACGTCTTCTTTCCAACCCCGCACAGAGGAAGCCTGAGTGTCCGGTAAAGGTCAAGTGGGTTGCTAGGAAACCTGCCCTTGTGCGGGCGCCCCTGAAGCCCAATGAGACCAGAAGCCGCAGTCCGAGGGGCAGAGGAGACCTGACAGGGTGGAAGGACTGGCCCTGACCGTCACTCGAGCCCGGCGCAGGGATGGGAGCGCAACTAAGATCCGAGTCCCAAGTATCTGGCCTTCTCCCTCCTCTGGGTTCCCGGTCCCCTGCCCGTATCTCACCACCCTCGTGGCCTCTGCAGCGTCTGTTCTCACCCCAGTGCCTGAGCCCGAGAAGCGCTGGCAGCCGGGGGTCTGCTGGGCGCCCAGACTCGGCCCCCGAGCCCTGGGAAGATGTCAGGCCCAGCCAGGGCCTGAGCCGACACCCTTCCCTAACTCAGAGGTCACTCACTGCCAGGAGCCCTCACCTGACAACGGGCGGCCCCGGCGGCCGCTTGGGTAGAGGGAACTGCCCGCTGGGACCTCGTGCTCACCTGCGCCGCAGCCCGCACTCCACGGTCCTGCCCCCACCCTCCGCCCGCCTTCTCGCTAGCTCGCTCGCGGGGAGCACCGACGTCGACCCTCCCAGCGGCCCGCGGGGCTTGGCCCCGGGACCCCGCCCACCCGCGCCGCTCTCTCCGAGCGCGCGGATTAGCTGAGCTCCAGTCAAAGGACCGGAGGGAGCTGAGCGTCAGCCTCGGGCTCCGCTGCGCGGAGATGGGACTGCGCCCCCTCGTGGCTTGGAGGGTTTCCCAATGACGTCAGCACGTGCTTTCCGCGTGGAGAAAAGTGGAAGGTCGTCCATTCATTTATTAAACTGATGTTTATTGGTCGTCTCTAAGTCCTAGGTCTGGACACACAAAAATAAAAGACACGTTCGTTGATTCCAAGAAGATCTCCTTAGCAGGATATAGTCTAGAACTCTAAGAACTCTTCCATGTAGGCTAGTTTTCTAGCCACGTGACATTGGGAACACTATTAATCGGCAAGAGCCTCCTTTCCCTCTTATGCATAAAGGTAATAACACCTATTTCACAGGATGTTGTGAGGGTTTGATGAGATAATGCATGTTAAGTGCTGCGCCAGGTACATAGCCACAGGAAATAAAATGGTTCTGTTGTCAGTATACTAAGAACTGAAATATAGTGAAACCTAAGTCTTGCCTTACCCCTCAGATACAAGTATTCACTCCCCCTGTGTCCCCACTATGCCCTGTACAGACATCTATTTCATCAGGTACAGCTGACCTCTGAACAACAGGGGCTTAAAATGGTGTGGATCCACTTACACGTGGGTTTTTGTTTTGTTGTTGTTTTTTTTTTTCAATAAATGCAGAATGGTACTAGAAATATATTCTCTCTTTGTTATGATTTTCTTAATAATATTTTCTTTTCTCTAGTTTATTTTATTGTAGAAATACAGTACATGATACATATAACATACATAGTATGTGTTAATCAACTGTTTATGTTATCAGGAAGGAATCTGGTCAACAGTAAGCTATTAGTAGTTAAGTTTGGGGGGTGTCAAAGTTATACATGGATTTTCCAATGTTAGGGGGGTGGGTGCCCTTAGCACTGTCGTTGTTCAGGGATCAACTGTATAGAGAAATAACGCCCTCACTAGCCCTGCCTTCTCATCTCTGTTCCACAAGTCTCAGCCAAGCATATTTCTTTATCTTTAGTAACACAGGCTAAACCCCTCATAGTCCCCCATGCAGACTGTTTCACACCTCTGTGCCTTCATTTATTATGCGTTTTCATCTACCTGGAGTGCCTTTCTTTACCAAAATAGCTCTGGCTCATTTTTCCAAGCTTAAGGGATACCTCCAGAGGAAGCCTCCTAGACTCCATCACACGTTAGATGCCCTTCTTCTATGATCTCAAAGAGGTCAGTGCTAAGCTCTGGCAGCGGAGATAGAAAGGAACAGCACAGAGAAATATGTAAGAAACTATTACTAGCAGAACTTATTCCCTAAATGAATGTGTAGAAAAGAGAAGGGAACACAATTGCCCAGAACAATTAACATTCAGCCAGCCAATGGACACGTGCTAGACACTGAGGATGCAAAAATGAACCACCCCTGCCTTCAGGAGTTCTCGGACCAACTGCTGGGGAAGCAGAGGGCTCTACAAACTGCCAAGGGAGTGTGAGAAACGTCAACAGAAGCATGCATAGGTCTTGCAGAGCAGAAACCCAGGAAGAATCAGGGAGGGCTCACCAGAGGAACCCGCCCTTGAGCTGAATCTCAAGTGAGGGCTAGTAGTTCGGTCAGGCAGAATGGAGTGGGGCTTGAGAGCACAGACCTAGGAATCAAAAGTGGGTTCAAATCCTGCCCCTGCTGCCTGCTAATCTTAGAAAGGCAGTTGACACTCTTCGTTTAAACAAATGCAATGAGAATACCTGTCCCCAAGGGTGGTTCTGAGTCCTAGTGACCTAATGTGTATAAAAAGCTTGGCATGGTACTTGGCGCCTCCTGAGTGTTCAACAAATGGTCACTGGTATGTTTAGTATTCCCCAAATTGATTCATCCTTCTGTAATGCCCTATGTTCATTTATGGTTTTACTTATTCACTAAGCCAAAACCCTAACTAACATTTTCAAAATCTCGTCTTTGCACTATTTCCCAAACAGCTCAGAGCACCTCTCTCTCCTGAATGTCTCTCAAGCTCTTCATCACTCATCTCTTACGTGAACGACCTTAGCGACTCCCTCAATGGTCTCCTTCCACCTTCCATTGCTCCCTCCAGTCCATTTCCATTCTTAGCCAAAGGGGTCTTTCAAAAACTTACATAAAACCATGAAATTTCCAGGGAGACTGGGTGGTTCAGTTGGTTAAGCATTGACCTTCAGCTCAGGTCATAATCCCAGGGTCCTGGGATTGAGCCCTGTGTTGGCCTCCCTGCTCCGTGGGGAGCCTGCTCCTCCCTCTCCTACTCCCCCTGCTTGTGCATGCTTGCTCTCTCTCTCTCTCTCTTTCTCTCAAATAAGTAAATAAAATCTTTTCTAAAAAATGAAATCTCCAGTTTAAACCCCCTCTCTTCCCATGGGTCCCTTCTGGCCACGTCTCCTCTATACCCTCTCCGCCCCATCCAAGCCTATCACCTCCCTCCAGTCTCTGCTCCTCCCATGATCCTACACACACATACCCTACTGTGCATTTGCCCAAGCTGATCCCTTTGCCAGAAATGAATGTCCTCCCTCTCTTCCTCGGCTGCAAAACTCTAACTCGTCCTGCAAGACCCAGTTCAAAAGGCTCTCTTGCAGAAAGATTTCCTAGACTCAACCAGCTGCTAGAGGTTTCCTCCTTTGGTCTCCTCAGCTCCTCTGGGAGAAGCTCCCTCTGTACATGCCATTCTGTTTATGTGCCTGGCTTTGGCCAGCTGGGACCAATCGAAAGCACAGGGACTGGACCTAATCCTTCACTTGTCCGTGGTGCTGGGCTCCCCAGGGGAGACTCCCACCTGGGGAGATTAAGATGTCATGTCTGTATCAAGATGTTAACTATACTTGTTCAGGGTTGTGTTGCTCCTCTGTCCCCATCCCATTTATACCTCATGGTCCTGGGAAACCGGGCCCAGATTCTGGGAAAAGACATAGACCCATAAAGAGCTGTAGAGTGTAGAAGGTTAAACACAGACTCAGCCACTTCTCGGCTTTGTGATTTGGGGTAAGTTGTTTAAACTCTCGAAGCCTTAGTTTTCTCACCTGTAAATGATGGTAACAACAATATCAGCTTCAAGGATTACTCCGAGTACCATCTATGCAAACCTTGCCCATGTTCCAGTTTTAGAGATGGGAAAACTCAATCTCAGAGAGGTGAAGTGACCTAGCTAAAGGCTCTCTTGGCAAGTCCAGGGGAAATAGACAAATGGGCATTTCCAGTGGAAACTCTGGGATGGTCATCCAACCTGAGAGTCTCAAGCCTGGCTGCCATCAAAACCACCTTGCACACCTGTTAAAAACTCACTTGAGGGCAGAGTCTATTCCCAGTGTTAGACAGGGCCCAGGAATCTGTGAGAGAGCAGCTCCAAGCTGACTCACTTGCGGGAATTTGGATCACATGGGGTTCACTCCACCTTCTGGTGGTCTCATATAAGTGTGTGTGTACGATTTCTTGCTTTTCAGGTGGCCTCCCACACTGGCCCATAAAAACCTAATCAAAACCCTTCCATGCATGGCTCCCCGTGGCTCTGAGGACACAGGCCCACCTGTCTCAAGTTGACCCAAAAGCCCAGCATGGTCACGCCTCTGCACTCCCGATGCTCTTTCTTCTCCTGGCCTTTGCACAACTGTTGTCTGATCTTGGAGCATTCTTCCCAGAGCTGGCCCTCCTCCAGTAGCTCTTTCCAGCACTCACCCTTATTCTGTAACTGCTTGTTTACTTGTTTGTTAGTGCCAGAAGTGTAGAAACTACACTTGTTCAGGGCCATCTCCCGGGTGCTGGCCAATGCCAACAGTGGTCCTTGATAAACGCCTGCTAAATAAATGAATGAGAATGGCCTAGTCCAGTGTGGCCCAGAAGGGCAGTCAAAGCCTTGGATGGCTCTTCTTCCTGCCTGAGGGTGACACATCAACCCCAAGCACTGGATGGGGTTGCCAGACCAGGTGGGAGCTGCCATCAAACCCTTCTGGGCTTAGAAAGCTGTAGAACTAAAAGCTCCCGGTTTGGCGTGAGACAGACCTGGTCCACCACTCCTAGCCCTCCCTGTGACATTGGACAGGTCACAGAACCTCTCCCCAGCAGCTTTCTCACCTGTCCTAAGGATGAGCTACATTCATGTAAAGCCCTCCCCCCTCCACCCCACCACCTGGCCCAGAGCAAACATCCCCAAAACATTAGCCAGCTCTACTAGCTCAGGGTTGTTACTTAGCTTCCCAGGAAAGCTCCGTTCTCCCCTTGGAACCCCCACCAAAGTGCCCACCCAGAGAAGTTATGAAAAAAGGTGATAACATGGGGCGCCTGAGTGGCTCGGTGGGTTAGAGCCTCTGCCTTCAGCTCGGGTCATGATCCCGGGGGCCTGGGATCGAGCCCCGTATCGGGCTCTCTGCTTAGCGGGGAACCTGCTTCCTCCTCTCCCTCCTGCCTGCCTCTCTGACTACTTGTGATCTCTGTCTATCAAATGTAAAAAAAAAAAAAAAAAAAAGGTGATAACACTAAATCAAACAGTGTTTCTGCTGCTGATCAGGTGGGGTGGAGCAGAGGCAACACCAGACCCTTAGGGTAAGGGAAACCAGTATCCATCAGCATCTAAGAATAACAGCACTCCCTGTTTATGGAGCACAGGCAGGTCCACCGGGCCTCTGGGCTGCCTGCTGCGGGAGGAAGCCTGGGAGCAGTGGGGGGGCAGAAAGAGAAATGGATTGAACTAGGAGTGGTAGAGAGAAAACCCTTCCCTCCTTGGCCCAGGGGCCAAATCCCCTTTGCCCCAGCTGGCCCAGGCTACCACGCTCTCCCCAAACAGAGAGAGTGGCTCCTGGCCTGCCTTCCCTCCATCCCCCAACCCTGTCTCCCCCCCCCCCCCCCCCCCGCCGTTCTCCTACCCACCCCACACACACTCCTGGCTTCCACACACGGGGCAGAGGTGGCTCCTTC